TGAAAAACTTAGTATGACTTCAGAACGGGGTGAAAATAACTATTTCCTCTATATATATAGGGTTGGGTTCATGTGAGAATGATGCTCTGTGAAAGAAATAAGAATAAACTGTAGCTATTGGATCGAATGATCCAATGACTAAAAAATGCTAATTTTTACACTCATTAAGGGTAAGATGGTAAGAGCACCCACAATGCTTTGGGTCTCCTAGAAAAAAATTACATGCCATGTAGAAAATAGACCTAGTCTATAAAAAAGTGTTTCCCAATGCAATTAAAAGTGGACCTAGTCTAGCTTATGTGGCAATAAAAAAATGAGACATAGTCCACACTTGGGTCTATTTTAGACCCAAGTACAAACCCAAGCACTCATCATTTATTCCTCATTGTTTTCTTTTAATAAATGAAATATATTAGAGCATTTTTATTGGTTGTCATGTATGCTAGACCTAGTATTTTATTTTTGTATTGGATAGATTTTGGATATTTTAGCTTTGGATTGTCCATGTCATTAAGGACTTAAGTCTATTTATTTGTCACATATGCAAAAAGAGACCCAAAGCATTGTGGATGCTCTAATACCAACATCACCTCAGTGGGACCCATCCCTACCATCTTGAATAAGTCAACCCGTATACAATTGCCTGTCACACACCATCTGCTCCTTCTTCCCCCCCTCTCTCTCTCTCTCTCTCTCTCTCTCTCACACACACACACACACACACACACACACACACTAAACCGAATGACACACGCACATTAATCCCCCCACACATACGGCCGCCGACCGTCTCCAGCGCCGTTCGCCGCCTCTAATCTCCCGCCGGCGACCTCCATCGACCTCCGGACAAGCTGTTCAACGTCGGGTCTGTGATAGCACGGACCTTCGGATATTCGAAGCCGACCACCGCAATGAATCCGTCGCCGACCATCATCTACTGACACATACTGTACACACACATTCTCCGGCGCCTCCAGATCTTCCCGTCCGCCGCTGCACCTTGTCCGACGCCGATGCCTCCGTCATCTCCCACTTCTTCTTCTCACCGATCGGCTTTTCACCGACGTCGATGTCGCCTTCGTCCACGTCCGCTGCAACAATGCCGACACTGGAGAGATTGAGTTGCCTTCAAATATTCACGACCCCGTCACGCCACTGAGATCCCTCTCTTCCCTTCCCCCTTCGCCGACCACGTATTGGTGACCCCGTCTCGCCTCACCGGGATGAAATCGGCGATGCTCGGCCTTCTATCGGATCCCAACATCGTTGCAATTGCAGTTGTAGTTGGATTGATTGGGATTGAATTGTGTTGGAGACACAGATACAGATACGCAAAATTGAAATTGATTTGAGCATTTGGTTTGAAAATTAGAAAACGTCCAAGGATCTAAATGCAATTTTATAACTTTTAATTATATTTCAATTTAGCCCACATGCCAAATCTGCAATTAATGAAAGTTAATAAAAAAATAATATTTTTCATAATAAATATAAAATATTAAATAAAATTAATATAAGATATTAAATAAAATGATAAATACAGTATTGAATAAATAAATAAATAATAATATTGCAATTATTTTGGTTAATTAGATGTACAATTATATCTACTAAAATTAATCTTTGAATAATCATACTTTATATGGGATCATATAATGTAGTGCACTTTACACAACACCACATTGCCCTTTAGAAAAGAATTTGTTGCACTTTATAAAATAACACATTGCAGTTTATAAAACAACAAACTATATTTTATCACAACACTCCACAATTAACGTCAATAGATCCCGATAAAATACCACACAACATAAATCTAAAAAAAGGAGATATATAATACTTTATCATCAATCACATTATCTATACACCAACAAAAAAAAAAAGGAGCACGCTAACGTACCAAAAATTAGAGTAGTGCACTTTATATATCATCACGTTGCACCTTATAAAACAACATGTTGCACTTTATTAAACACAGTGTTGTTTATATATATAAATATATATTAAATTTTCATTTAAAAATTATATAGAACATAAATAAAAATGTTAAAATAATATATATTTTAAAATATAACTAATGATTATTTCGAATATTTAGGTTAATACAAAAGAATGATCGAACTACCGGATCATCTCGTTCGATTTTAATTTGGTGTTGCCATAAAAAAAAAACTACTCATAAAAAAAACGCATAAGTTATATGTGATCGTATAAAGTAGTGCACTTCATATATCAACAAGATGCACTTTATAAAATAACATGTTGCAGTTTATAAAATAACACGTTGCACTTTATAAAACAACATGTTGTACTTTATCACTACACCCCATACTTAACGTTAAACAGCTTACCGCAAAAAATACGTATATACATAATATTTTAACATCAATCACAACATTTATCCACACGAAACACAAACATGCTACCATATCAAAATTATAGTAGTTCACTTTATACATCAACATTCTACACTTTATAAAACAATATGTTGCACTTTAGAAAACAACACGTCGCACTTTATCAGGAGACTACCAGATTGCACAATCAAGATCGAAACATACCGATCAAAAATTTTTCAAACAAAATTAATATAAAAAATAATAAATAAAATTATTATCATAATAAAAATAATTTTAATATAGATGGCAAGATATTTTGATTATTTATGATAATTTGGTTAACCGAACTGAATAAACTAATTAATTATGATTATTTTCAATTTGATTTGAGATAAAGGTTTGGTTGGTTCAATAGAATACAGACCAACACCGTGCACCATATCGATGACCAAATTGCACCTTAATAATCGTTAGATTGCACGGTATATTTTGTTTGCATATATACAATTTTTTAACAAATAAACTAATATAAAATATCAAATGAAAAATATTTAATGTTAATAATGTTTTCTATATAAATAATAATATTTATGTCGGTTATTTTGGTTATCTACGTTAACCGACTATGTTGAAATTTCAAAGTCGACCGGTTCATGATAATGTGCATTATGTAGCGCGTTGACATCTTGATATTTTTTAAATTTTTAATATGTATATACACTCCCGATATTGTGCAAATTATTTATCGTTGTTGTGCATTGTATGTGTATACATATTGTGCCATTATAAATTTCTAATAATCCATCAATTAATATTAATTATATAAAATTTCTGGAAATTTAATATGAACACACATACACATATTATATAATTTTTGCAACAATATATTACATCTATTAATTTTTTAATGAAATAGATATTTAAACTATTAATTAAATTACAATATAAATGAAGTTCTTAAAACTACATATTTGACCCTAAAAATTACCTAATTTTCCTTAAACCACCCATAACCTTATCCTAATTCATACACCCGCACAATAGTCCCAGATCTCCCCAAATCATCCAAAATCTGCCCAAATCGTCACAAATCTCAACCTTCCCTGTGGAGGCACTCGAATCGGCAGCCCATTGAATACTCCCTCGGAATCCACCCACGCAGAGGATGCACGACCGACTCGAGTCGGCCGGAACTTGGAAACCCGACTCCGTCGGAGGCGCTGCCGGTTCCCACTGTTGGAGACACGACGACTTCACGTGAGGTGTTTAACGGATGATCCGGAAGTCGGTGACGGAATCTTGCACCCGGCTTTCGACGGCAAATCGAATGTGACTTTGACGGACCGATTGCAGGGGTGGTCGGTGGTGGAGCCGTGGTAGGATATGGAGGCAGTGACGGGACTGACGGTTGCGGTTTGGTGTCGGATGTTGGAATCCAACGCTGTTCGAGGTGCTGAACGCTGGCGTCTGAGTTGTGTGTGTGTGTGTGTGTGTTTGTGACGGCGACCGTCGCCGGTCGACAGCCGGCATCGGGCGGCGTTCTGTGTGTGAATGGCGTGTGAGATGTGTGTGTATCGAACCAGTGTGTGTGTGTGTGTGTATTTTGTGTGAGAGAGAGAAATTCATTATTAGATGGTAGATAGAGGTGGGTCACACTGGTAAGTTGTAATAATTTGAAATGACTATTTTATCCTTAATGAATGGTCAAAATACACATATTTGACCACAATTTGACCATTTATTCCCAGAAATGCCATTATATGTTTGACTATGATTATTAAGTTTGACTAGATCATAACCATTAATATGATGAAACTAATGGTGTAGATTTATTCTTATTTCTTTCACTATCTACCATTCTCATATGATCCTAACTCTCTCTCTCTCTCTCTCTCTCTCTCTATATATATATATATATATATATAGCACATTTCATTTAATTAATAATATTAGGTAATTAATCATTACAAATAATAGAATAATAATAATAATAATATCTGAAAATAAATCAAATAATCGAACGGGTTAAAGTCGAACTACGCGATTAACCCGAAATCGCCGAATGATGAACGTTCTCCAAACCATCGAGTACTCCGACCTATTATTTAAGTCGACATCGCGCCTAAATATAACCTTACAAGTAATATTCGATAAATAAAATATTTCGAGAAATTCTATAAATAAAGGGAGCTCGGTAAATTCCGACTAGTATATGAATTATCAAACAAGTCTATCTATTTTACATGCCCGATAGCTTATTTGATAATAGGGGGCTAGATGATATATCACATAGAGTTAATAGGGTGAATCGACCTTTTATGGGCTCGACCTTTTAGCTTTTCAGGCATGACCTTTTATGGGCCCGACCTTTTAGCTTTTCTGGCATGACCTTTTACGGGCTCGACCTTTTATGGGCTCGGTCTCTTTTGGTCTTGCATGGAGCTCGGCCCAAAGGGCGTAATAGCGGCAGCCCAGTTATATATTTTTCGGTGGCTCGGATTTAAATGGGCTTAGCCTAGCACTTCCGCATTGGTGAGGCTGAAAGGGTGGGCATAAAAGCTGTTTGACGGAATGGTTATTAGGAGTAGTGTATGAGAGACACGTGTAGCATCAAGATGAGAAGGGACGAGATCATCTAACGGGTAAGGACCAAGGCGTGGCACAATGCCTCAACTAGCCAAAATATGAACATGCCGAGCTCTTCTACCACCTCATCTTCTACCTCTCTCGAACCCGTTCTCCAGCTCCCATTAAACAACATTTGAATAAATTCACCAACACCTCAAAACACCGAATCCCCGCAGGCCACGGAGTATGGACGTCTACGGTTCAAACATTCGCAAGAGGAGGGATAAATCCCATTAGCTTAACATACTGCCGAGCAATACTTAACTAATAGTCGGTTTCATCTTTTGGCCAGCGCAATTAACTTTTTAAAAGAATAACTTTATAAAAGAATAAGCGGTCTTAACATCCATTTGCCAAATCTCATAATCCATATGAGCGGCCACAGCCAAGAGAATCCTGATGGATTTGAGCATGGCTACCGGCGAAAAGGTTTCCTCATAATCGATCCCTTCTTTTTGAGTGTACCCTTTCGCAACAAGCCTAGCTTTGAAGGTCTCAACCTTCCCATTTGCTCCACTCTTTCTCTTATAGACCCACTTGCATCCAATGGCGCGAACGCCCTTGGGTGGCTCTACAAGATCCCAGACCTGATTAGTGTCCATTGACTCTATTTCAGATTTCATCGCCTTCTGCCAAGACTCTGCGTCCCGATCTTGGAGTGCCTCATTGTATG